ATTAATTAATGGACATTATATCTTAAACATGGGGAGGTAAATCTGATAATTATAATGAGTCTCAAATGTAATTTGGGATAGGTGAGGGGAGTACAATAATATTATTGTGGTGGACTTTAATATTATTAATATATTAATTGTGGGGTTGCTCCACAGTATTAATATATTAGAAGCCTTTATCCTATTCTCCTTAGGGTCCCTACTGTAGCTCTATATACACAACATTAGGCTCTTGGAAGAGCACATACAATCCCATAATCTTGGGAAACACGTCCGCCCCCCCTCTCTCTCTCTCTCTCTTCCAAGGAGTTGTTCTATTTCTTGTTCTCCACTGATACAAGATCTAGATAGCTGTTTGAGAATACAGTAGAAGATCTTAAGGTATATACGGGATTCTAATCAGATCTATCATCCATCCAAACCGGAGAACAAAACCAGCAAGTGACCATACCACGACGACCAGGACGACGAGTCGAAGAGATCACCGTCGAGATCGCCGCCAGCCGCCGCCGCACGCGCCCACACGCACCGCCGGAAGACAGCAGCTGCTGGGAGTCACACGCGCGTGTGAGAGCGCGTGAAACCTCCAATTTCCGATCGGTCAATGCCGTTGACTTTGCCGTGACGCCAGCTTTCTGGATTGGTCAAGTTTGTTCGATTCCGAGAAGATTTGATTTGCGGTCATGTGTTTGGGCCAGCCAGATCTACAAAAATTTTATGCAGTAAGTTTTCTACATCAAACCTTTAGATCCGCTGCGCATAGGTTTATGTTGAATGTTTGTCCGTGAATTGTGCATATCGAGATCCTCAACAGTCCCAGCACGACTCGCCTGGGTTGATGACCACTTCCGTATCATTCCCCTCCTCTTCGAGACTTTCCTTGTCCTCAAGGATTAGAAAATTCAACGCACCATCATCACCGCTGTTTTGAACATCGACCACCATTGCTTCTCGTGCTTCTACGAGTTGTCGCTCGTATTCTTCTACGTTCCTTCGCTCATGAAGCTCATCTAGATACGTTTTCTCTCATGGTGTGAGTTCTCTTTCCAAACCCTCCAACATCTCAAGATTTTCCCAATCTAACTCATCCAATGGCAAGAAGCTCATTTTTTTTTACCCTCAAGAAAAATCGAACAAAACTAGACATATATATTTTTTAAGACTCAGTGAAAAATAACAAAGGACTAGATCACACTTTTTTTACTCTATCTCACAAAAAAAAGAAGAAAAAAACCGAATAAATATTCGAACCAAAAATTTGAAAAAACAAAGAGAAATTCGGCCCCTCAACAAAAGGTAATAACCGAAAAAAAATAAAAAGATTGATAAACAATAACCTAGATCTTCACTCTTCAATGAAACCCTCTCAATGAAATCACCAATGATGAGCGAACGAGAGTGTGATCGCGGTTGTTGTCTATTTGGTGGGAGTAATCACGTACTCAGGGCCTTCGACTACACACGATAGATGTGACTAACAGACGCACTACGGCCTTCTCTTAGACACCATGACTTCAAGACGCTCTAATGACCTTCTCTCTGACACTGTATGTAAACACGCAGTAATGGCCTTTTTTAAACACTCGTATGAACACCAAGTTCCCCCTTTTCTATTCACTCATCAATTCCAAGACTTTTTAATAATGAAGAGGTACATGGGTATTTATAGATGCATAAATTAAATCTAAGCCTAATAGATCTAGATCTCCTAATACTAGCA